GAGAGAGAGAGAGAGAGAGAGAGAGAGAGAGAGAGAGAGAGAGAGAGAGTTTTCCATCAACAGGATGAGCAAAGCACCGGCGAACTGGCAAGCGTCCAACACTGCAGCTGGCCTTGCGCTGCTGCCCGGCTATGGAGGATGGCCGACGGAGGACTCGGTGAAGACGGCCGAGGCGTGAAGATGGCCGAGCTTCTTCGACTCTTCGATGACGACGGCGGCGGGAGGATGAGGTGGAGGACACGAGTGAAGTGTCTGGCGGCCTGGGCGGGAGATCACCTCACCCAGCGTTCAAATTCGAACGTTGGGACCAAAAACAATTCTGGGCCTTGGCGCAGCCCGAAAAAAATTTGCGCGGGCCTGGTTTCATTTTTACGACAACCCTCCCTCTCACTTGCACCCCGCCCCCGACTTTTTTTTTTTTTTGTCTACCCTTAATTTAGGCCATGCGGCGCACGTGCGCAAGTGCCGCGCACGGCATGCGCCGCAAGTATGACAAAGAGTAAAGTAAAAAAAATTGTCCTACTACTACCAAAAACCGAAAATCACAATTATCCAGAAAATTATTATGTTCATTCATCTAGCAGTACTCTAAGGAAACTAAGCACCATTTTCATGAAGGATACGCGAAACTCTGTCGGTGCCATTCAGGACGTCCCTCCACCCCTCCAAACCTCACCTCGTCCTTCATCAGCACAAGGGCATCTCAGCCACCATATGATCTAGGTACTCTGCTCGACTGTCTTTGCAAAAGGCCGAATGACGAAGATTGTCGGACCATAGCATACCTCACTGTCTCCGGCGCTCGATGCGATGTGTTGCGAGTAGAAACTGCTGAACCTGCCAACAGCCCCTCACAGGCAGTCTCGAGAGATGAGAGAACGTGTCACAATCATCGCAACTAAATCCAAGGACCAAGTAATGATGAATCACAAGCAGTTAGAAACACCCGATATCATCCGATTCATCCCACCATCACTTTGTTCAGCCCCCACCATCACACCTCTTGCCCTCCCCCTCTTCATTGCACGTGCCATATTCCTCGTTGGGTTCCCCCGCTAGCGCACCACCATGTGCAGGTTCAGGTGTTTGTTATGCCCTGCACCGCACTTTGGAGCCTGCTGCCTCTTGTCCCGTGTGTCGTCTGCCTTGCATCGTCCCGCACTCACAGTCATTCTGGTAGGGCGCAGTGCCTGCTGCCTCTCGTCTCACGCATCGCCCGCCTTGCGTCGTTTCGCATGCCCAGTCGTTCCGGTAGGGCGCAGCGCTCCCGGCCGTGCTGGATCTGTATTGCCAGAGAGAGAGAGAGAGGTATTGAAGAGGACATTGAGAGAGTACTCTGCGGTTTTGAAGACTTTCCTAGGACTCTGTATAAGCTGTTGATATTGGAGGTCCAGACACGAAGATGGGCATTGCCACCACTCTCGAAATGTGCAAAATGAGAATGAACTTCCCGCTAGAATGCGGCCAGATGCACCCGCCAAATTTTTGTTTTTTTCACATTTTGAGAGTGGTGTGACGAGGCCCTATGTAACTTTTTGACTTTTTCGGCTTTTGAACTTTTTGCAAGCAGTTTTGCAGTTCTTGGTTTCACCACAAAAGAGCATGGTAACCGCCCGGACATCCGAACTGGGTTCCAGACAGTCCGGAACAACATGTCCGGTGTCCAGTGTCCGGTCCTTATGCCCGAATGGAGGCCCCCGGGGCAAAAATCGAAAAAAAAAGGGGGCAGCCCAGGACGTTTATCGGGTCCTGGCCGCCCCTCGAAAAATAACGGGGTGATTTTTCAGTGTCATTTCACCCCACCGGACAGGGCCTAGAGGTCCGGACACAGGACACTGCAGGTTTTCGGGGTGGCGGGTTTCACACAGGCCTGAGCAATTTCAAAGCGGTCGTTTCGACGTGCCACCCGCCGCTGCTGCCTGTTGGGGGGAGAGAGATAGAGATAGATAGATAGATAGAGAGAGAGAGAGAGAGAGAGAGAGAGAGAGAGAGAGAGAGAGAGAGAGAGAGAGAGAGAGAGAG